TATGGCAAGAAAATATTGCCTTGCTTTTATCAAAAATAAATAAAACAAACTGAGAAGTGAACAGTGGCAATGTCTTACATAAATATTGAAATAATTTTGCAAACAATCAATGTTAAACCAGGATGTATTGTAGTTTTGCCATCATCTTATGTATGAAGTCTTAAAGCTTTAAAAGAAATTTTTAAAGATGCTAAGGCAACCATTAAGAAGTATGGTAAACATTTTATTATTTTTGTTTGCAAAACAAAATGGCATGAAATAACTGAAAATTTACATCCAGATCAAGCTGCAAATGATCTACCTGACTTGGTTACTTGAGTATTTAAACTCAAATTTAATCTCATTAATGATATTTTCAAATTAAATAACCTCCTTAATGATATTTTCAAATTAAATAACCTCCTTAATGATATTTTCAAATTAAATAATCTCCTTAATGGTATTTTCAAGCATGGTGTATTAAAAAAAGTTTTAACCCATGTTTAATTTATTGTGAAGTAAAATATGAACATGTTAATACATGTTCATATTTTACTTGAAATGAAAATAAGCTTATAACAGCTAAGGATATCAATATTTATTTATATCTGATCTGATCATAAATTATGAACTTTATGATGATTTTAGGAACTGCATGATTCACATAGCATATTAAACCCAAGTTAACCCTAAATGTAAGATGAAGTAGGCGGCAAAAAAAAAAAAAAAACACACACACAATCACTAGTGAAGTACCAATTGAAGATTTTTGGCTTATGCTGATACCGATAGAAAAAAAGGGTGATACCAATGTCGATACTGATTAATTATAATAATAATCAATAATATGAAAAAAATATTACAAATCAGGATCAAGATCATGATCACCTAACTACTGGTAATATATAATCAAGTATAAACTGGCAGATAACTTGCTACCTTGTAACTCTGACTTAAAATACACTCTACTTTGGCATTCTTGGTTGAGCTTAGACTAAAATGGTGTCTTGATAAAAATATTTGTCTTGGGCAGATGCTAACAAAATAATTTATGGGTAAGCAGAAAGTTTATGCAGGGCAGCCTTGCAATCTTTTTTCATTAATAAGATGGTGTATATTTAAACCTGGATTTGATTGTTTCCTGCCTTGGAAGATGAACGCTGGATCATCTTCAGTCCTGTGTTGTTTCTCATCTATATTAATGATCTTTCCAATGGTCTCTTTCTTAAAGTGGCTCTATTTGCTAGATGAGACAACTATATACTTTGGTCAAAAGAGTTATGAGATTTTAATTGCTTAGAAAAAGCAGCTAACCTTAAATGTCATCTCTATTTTAAAACAGCATGGTACTCCTGTGTTCTTACTCCTCATTCCATTCCATAGCTCTATAAATCTCTTATTTTTTCTTGTATGGAACACTGTTGTCATATTTAGACCAGCCCTTCTAATTATGCTCATTCTCTTTTAGATATAATCAAAAAATACATTGTAAATGTAGTTGGATCCGCTCTAGCTCCGAAGCCTGTACTTCTGACTCATTTGTGATATGGTTGCATATTTTTTTATTTTCTACAACTACTACAATTTTCACTGCTCAAGCAATATACATCTCTTAAAAATTTCTTGTTCAATTCAAAAGACTTGTTTCAACACATTTGAATAAAATTTGTTTCAACACAAAACTCTTGTTCTACCAAAACTCAATCTCACATGAGTCATCATTTAGCAAAGTTGCATCCTTTTACTGGAACTGCTCAAAAAATCTTTATAAAACTAGTTTTTTTTTACCTCAAACACTTCAGAAGTCCTGTCTTTATATTTTCCTTACACATACAGTTTACAGTTTCAAAAGTCTTCTCTCAACCATTTTCATGTTATTTAACTTTCTCCTTTGCTTTCTGTTAACTACCAACTTACATAATATTGATTGCAGCCATTTTGGAAGTAAATTTGCTATTAAAAATATAAATTTTAAATTGTATAATTTTGTTTCAAAAATAAAAGGTATATTTTTTATATAAAAAGAGTTTGGTTTATTTAGTATGTAACTATTTTCATAAAGCAGGATAAAGTTTTTTATAAAAAGTAATCAATTAGAAAATTGGTAAATCCATAAAAAAAAAATGCTGATACTGATTATGCAAAAAGTGGTCAATTAAGCCAATATCTATGCTGATTAATCAGTACATCACTAGTAAATGCTGTAGCAGTTTAGAATATATATTCACTTTAACAGAACATCCACACTAGAGGAGTTGTGATAATGGCTTGGTTATCAATATTAAAGGCAACAATGTAAATAACCATTGAGTGGTACCTTGCCATGTGTGATTATCAGAGAAATATCAAGCGCAAACTAATGTTGCTACAAATACATCTATAATGGATTTACCAATTTTCTATATTATTGTTGCCTTTATATAATGGATTTACCAATTTTCTATATTATTGTTGCCTATATTATTGTTGCCTTATAACATTGTTGCCTTTAATATTTTCAATATTAAAGGCAACAATGTAAATAACCATTGAGTGGTACCTTGCCATGTGTAATTATCAGAGAAATATCAAGCGCAAACTAATGTTGCTACAAATACATCTATAAGGGATATGACTGCTTTGATAAATAAACAAATTAATTGTAATGAAGTAAACACTTTTTTAGATTGTCATTATGTTATTGGGGCTCAAGTATTGAGGCAAATATCTGAGTATCCTATTAATAGTATATCACATGTTACCTTCCGGACAAAAAAAATGAGACCAAGTTTTTTAAGCTTTATATTCAAAATAATAAATGAATAATAAAATTGTTTGATAAAAAATAAAAAGTAAAGATTAATTTTTAAAAAAATGTATTGATCAATATCCGATCATGTGTCCTTGGACTTCTATGCATTTTTGAATACGACGGTTCATACTCTCAATTAATGACTTCAAATAATCTAAGGAAAGTCCATTCCAAACTTCTTGAATTGCAACCTCTAAACCATCTAAATTTTTTGGTTTTTTCTTTTTCACTGCTTTTTTCATTAACCCCCACACATTTTCAATGGGGTTCAAATCCGCTGAATTAGCGGGCCAAAAAGAAACTTTCCTTTTATGCTCTGTAAACCATTCAAAAACTTATTTTGAAGTGTGGCATGTCGCCCCATCCTGTTGAAATGTAAAACATCTTGGGAAAAGATTTTTTAGAGTTATCTCAGCTTCAGAAAGTATTTCTTTGTATTTTTCACTATTCACAGTGCCCTTGATTATAAGCAATGATCTTTTACTTTTGGAACTAATCGCCCCCCAAACCACGAGACTCTGTTTGAACTTTGGTTTGCTGGTTTTCGGTTGTTTCTTTGCACATGGACCTTCTCGAGTTCGAAATAACTCGAAACAATTCTCATCACTAAATACCCATTGATTCCATCTTGTTCTTAGGTGTTCTTCACACCATTTTACCCTATTTTCTTGTTGAACAGGAGTCAGTAGGGGTTGATTTTTGGAAACGAAACTGAAGCACCCACTTTGGTTAAGATAACGAGTAATGGTTTTGAGAGCAACCTTGGGAATGCCTTTTTTGATTAATTCAACTTGAATATCTCGGGCGGATTGTGTGTCATCTTTTCAAGCTAATTGAATTAATCATTGTTGGTCCTTTAAATTACATTTTCTTGGTCTACCACTTCCTTTCTTTCTCTTCAAGCTCATTCCTTCCCTCATTTTCTTTAAATATCTTGCAACTGTTGCCTTAGGTATCCCCATTAATTTCATCAAAGACTTTAGGTCTTTATGACCCCCTTTAAAAAGATAGTCAAGTGTCAAAGCTAATGACTTCATTTCTAAATAAATATTTTAGGTAAATCAGAAATAATAATGAACACATAGAACTTTTGATGAATATATATGCACCTGATAAATCAAACAATGGGTTTTATGAAATACAAAAAAGTCATTGTATGACTCGCCAAAAATTGTAAAAATATGAACAAAAGTTTTGCATACGCTGTCTCTTTTTTTTGTCCGGAAGGTATTATAGACATAAAGCTCATCTTCCTGAGAATCAGATAGTATATTTTAGAGAAGTAGCAGAACAAGTTGTTTTAGATAGTAGCACTCAACCTGATATCCACAATGTTGATATCAGCAATAATGTACCTCATTGCATGGTTAAAGTTTAATTTTGAAAATAAATGAGCTCATTGTTATTCATATGTAGACTTTGTTATTACTTTGTATTTGACAATAAACATTGTAAATGGAAGGTTAGAAAAGGTGGTGAAAAGGTGTTAGTAAAAATGTATATATCAATTTAGAGTATTTTAATTCTTCTGTCAACTGTTTATTTGTCCCTTGTTTACTCTCTAGTATCTTCCAACTTAAATGGTGATAAGTTACAGCTTCGTTTAAAATAAATTTGTTGAAAAACACTTTCTGTAACAATCTTTAACAGGTAAAAAACAACTTATTCGAAAAAAAACTATTGCATTTACCAAAAAAAATCTTTAACTTAATTTAACACAAAGCAGGTAGATTAAAAAAACAATTAACTACACAAATAAAATATATAGGAGGAGGGAAGTTATTATATTGTCATTTTAAGTTATTCTTGTTTACTTTTTTTTTTTTTTTTTTTTTTTTTTTTTTTTTTTTTTTTTATTTTACTTCACCTCCTCAAGGCCGAGAAGGCCACTACAGACGAGGAGGCTACTTATTTTGTGGCTATAACCCTCTCTCAACTCTATAACTCCGAAATACGAACCTTGACGAACAAGGCCGCTGCGCAGAGAAACGAGTTGAGCGCGGTACTACCAGGGACGTGGTGGGGATCGAACTCGGAACCACTCGTTTATGAAGCGAGCGCTCTACCACTACACCACTACCGCATCCATAATGCAAACAATTTCTATAATGCAAACAATTTCTTTCTTCCTTTTTTTCTGGTTTAGGTATTTTTTTAAAAGAAAAAAAACTTTTAAGTAATAAAAAAATAAATTACAAATAAATTTACTGAAAACAAAATTTAAGGTCACCTCTTTTATTTTTTGTGAAATCAGGAGGATTTTTTGTGATATGATTTATTTCAATATGAGGTAATTCTATTTTAATACAATAATAAATGCACCCATCACTACAACATTTTTCATCAATACTTTTGCACCCAGAGTCATTCATGCAATCACCTGCATCAGCAACTTCACAACTGACTTTATCAGTATTAACATCAGGACATGCTCGCAGCCTAAAACTATCTAAAATAAACAACAAAAATTTTTTATTTGATAAAAATCTCTCTTCTAGATTGATTTATACTTATATTTTATGAAATATATACACTATTACTCAAATTTTTTAAAATATATATTTTAACGCTATTCACCTTTCCAAGGCCGAGGCCACTAAAGTCAAGTTTTTTTAACCCTCTCTAAACTCTTAAACACCAAATAAGGCTGCTGTGCAGAGGAAAAAGATGAGTACAGTACTACAAGGGTCACTATGGGGATAAAACTTAGAACTTCTTGCTTTTAAAGCAAGGGAGAAATTAAGGTTTTTTGTTTAATGTTAGACCATAAAAATCCATAGTAAAATCATGTTCACACTGAACTTAATTCATATCAATAAAGGCGTTTTTTTTTTTTCTTCTTTAAGAAATACAAAAAGCTATATATTTTTTTTAATTAAGAAATCATTTCATTATGAAGAGATCGCAGAGAAACAATTCTTTGTTTATTAGAAAATTAAAATTTGTAATTGAAAATTACATTCTACGTTTACTTCTGATTTTCTAGTTAGAGACGGATTAAAGGTAAGGCCCCTGTTTCCTTAACTGAAACTTCATAACCATTGATAAAAGAAGTGAAAAAATTTAGATTATTCAGCTTATTTAGGAGATCCTTTGCTAAACCAACTTTTGGCACCTCTGCATTTTTGCACAGTATCAACGCTTTTAATTTTAAGCCAATCATTAGCATTTTATTTTGTAAGCGCAGAATCTTTCTATTTATTTGCTGTTTTTAATTGCAGCTTTCTTTGATAAGTTTTTACTTTTTTCCCAGAGGGTGTTTCAGACGCTAAGTTTCTTTTTTTGTTACTTTTTTCATTTTATTTTTGTACTTATTATTACTAAAATCTTAAAACAAAAACTAATTTATTTAAATTGTTATGCTTTCATAAAAAAGTTTTTCAACCCAATCATAAACTTGCTTTATTTATTATTTTTCAGACATTTAAGAAAAGTTACCAAGGTTACCATTTCTAGTTATTAACTCATTTTAAACAAAATATTTGCTTCATTCAAAAAAAGTTTAACTTTAAAATTAACAAACTAGAAACTGTTACAAAATCAATGCTAAGTTTATTCCACCAATCAAAAACTTTTTTTTTTTTAATTCAGTTTTTTTGCTTATTAAATATAAATTTTGCGCTTTTAGTTTTAATTGCCTTTTTTTTTTTTGTGAACTTTTGTGAAAATTGTTGTTGTCTTAAAACAGTGTCAATGATCATTGATTATTTGTAAATAAACTTCACAAACATGATTAAAATAGTATTTTACTATTGGATTCAACGTTGTCAAAAAAAAAGATTTGTCACTTTTATAAAAAACATATGCTGTAAAAAATATATAATATGGCAGCCTCATAATAGATTAGATCAAAAACAATAATTAAAATATTTGTGCATTTTAAAAGTTCTAAGTATACCTAATAGTATTAAGATAATGTTAGTTGGGTATGGGTAAAATGGGTCTCAATATTATAAAATCCATAACTATTCGTTTAATTAAGGGTTCTGAGAGGTCTGGGTCTGACAGGTTTTAAGCCTATAAAATGCAACCCAGACCAAGATTAAATGAATTGGGTCAATCCTGGGTCTAAACTTAACCCATTACCAGCCCTATGTGTAACTTATATATCAATTTTGCTATTTTTTTTAATATTTTCAAAAGTATTTATATCTTTTTCAGGATAAAGACCTAATATATGTATTGCAAATTTCAGATAAACACCAGTGTTTCTATTCATAGTTTTATATAAAATATAAATACAACATCATTTGTCTGACTTTTTTATGGTGATTGTGGCATTAAACATAAGTTAGGTGCATTAATAAGTTTAGGAAGTTTTTTTCATTTTTCGGTGAGAAAACAAAAGTTATATCACCAAATTAAGATTTATTATGAAAGATCAATTTAAATTTTTATGAAACAGATGCCTCACTATCTTTTCCATCCCAAAATAGAGTTGTTGAAGAAGGATTTGTTTAAAACCTTTCAAGGATTGTTTTAAAACTTTCAAACGTAATTATCTAAACATTAATAGGCATATTTGTAATTAAAGAAACAAAATTTAATCCCAAACTCTTTCATTGTCTGTTAGGTAGTGTTTAAATATGTTGGTTATTAATTTTTTATTAAATTGATGTAAAAATTTGACTTGACTTAAATGTTTTTTTTGCTATATTGCCTCATATTATTATGTGTTGATGAAATTGTGAAGTAGGAGAAAACAAAGGTAACAATATTTGGTCCCTCAAATAATAGGTCAGAATAATGAAATAAGCCAATAATTGCGACCAAAAGAATACTTAAAGAATATGATTTAAGTGAAAACTCTAAAGTCAACATTAAAAAAAACTTAAAACTCAAACATATGTTTATACCATTGTATTCATCATACCAACATATCTATATATATTCCAACCCATAAATTATCTAAATAAAGTAGAACATATTATCTAAAAAATATTTATCTAAAGAACAAAAAGCATGCAAAATGCTGTAACAGGTTGAATGTAGTAAGTGACCAGTGTTGAAATTAGACCGAGGCCGGGTTTGATAAAATATAGCCAAGGCCAGGTTTGTGAGCAGGGCTGCATAAACATTTGTACATTTTAAAGTTTTTTTTTTTATTCAAAATTCATGTTAAAATTTTTTTTATTTCTTTTGTATAAATATGCATATACAAACATTATCATAATCAATATGATCATCGTCATCATCATCATCATCATCATCATCATCATCATCATATCATCATCATCATCATCATCATCATCATCATCATCATCATCACTATCATCATCACTATCATCATCACTATCATCATCATCATCATCATCATCATCATCATCATCATCATCATCATCACCATCATCATCATCATCATCAGGTTTTAGCGTTCCTCTTTCATGCTGTTTCTCTAATATAAACAATCTAGAGCATTTTCTTTCCTTAACTAAAGCTCATTCATAAAATATGTGAGGCACTCTCTTCAAGTTTTCTTACTTCTACCGCTATATATATATATATATATATATATATATATATATATATATATATATATATATATATATATATATATATATATATATATATATATGTGTATATATATATATATATATATATATATATATATATATATATATATATATATATATATATATATATATATATATATATATATATATATATATATATATGTGTATATATATATATATATATATATATATATATATATATATATATATATATATATATATATATATATATATATATATATATATATATATATATGTGTATATATATATATATATATATATATATATATATATATATATATATATATATATATATATATATATATATATATATATATATATATATATATATATATATATATATATATATATATATATATATTAGGGTGGTGCACAAATATATTGACAATTTCAAAAGTTTCAAAAATCAATGTGGTACTTTTTCCTATTGTTCCTTTTATCATTATATTAATTCTTGCAAAATTTAAGCAAATTTGAATGACTTTTAGAGGTCGCTCATGGCCATGTTTCCTTTTTTAATTGCCATTATTTTCCTATTCTAACGTTACTGTGAAGTTTTTAATATGTACATTTGTTTATTTATTTTATTATGACATAACTCTTAATTTGATTTAATTTAATTAAATATGATAATTATTTTAATCGATTTTAAATATTTTTTAAATATATTTTTCTAATTTAATAGTGTGCAACTACCTTTGACAATATACCGCAAAGCATTTTAATTTTTGTTCATATGAGTGCTGATTTGAGGCTTTAAAAAATTAAATTCATTTTGTGATAACAATTGTTTTACTCAGGTTATATTTTGATTTTCAGAAATATCCTGTAATATGAATTCTCAGTTATCTTTCCCTTCGTTTTCGAAAAAAATTGAAACTCGAACAACTACTGACATTTATCTTGTTGGGTCTGTTTCTTGGAGATCAGCAAGGTTTGTTTTTTGGAGATCAGCAAGGAAACAAAAGCAAAAATGGTTTTGGCTCTACAAAATGCTGGAGAGGATGAACCACAGAAAAGAATAAAAATCGATTTAACTTCAATTGAAAATCTGCAAATAGAAAGTTTTGTAACAGAGAATACCTTTTTCTCAATTTTTTCAACAATTTGGAATTCCTAACTACTTTTTTGACAACTGTTGATCCTGACAAGTGGACCGAAAATGAAGAGTTTCAACAGGCAGAAAAAATTGTAAAAAGTCTACGAGTTATTAATGATACGGCTGAAAGAGGAGTAAAACTAATTCAGGATTTTAATTGTTCAATTACCAAAAATGAAGAACAAAAGCAATTCTTGTTGCAGGTAGTCTCTGAACACAGGTCAAAGTTTCCTCTGCCAGCTGAAATATAAATGAAACCTAAAACTCTAACAATTTTTAAGATTTTTTGGAACTATTATTGTTTTTTAAATTTGTCTTTACTATAGTGAACACAAATACGTTATTATAAACCAGAAGTTTATTACTTTATTCTTCAATAATTTTCTTCAAAAATTTTTTGTAAATGCAATGCATTTTAGTGAAGCTGCACCGAGCAGTGTACGCCTTAGGGATGAATAATAAGTTAAAAAGAGTTGAGCAGAGTGAGATAAAAGTACAAAAGGACAGATGTCCAGAGGAAAACAAAGAGCCTCAAAGTGGAAAAATATTAAAAACTAATATGTGTAAAGTGTAGTAAAAAGTAAATAAGAATAATAAACAACAGTCAAGGAAAGTCATTAGTTGTAGTGCTACTAAATTGTTGTTGGAGACCAGCGTAAATGTGATTTGTAGATAGAATTGGTAATGGAGTAGAATTATTCGTTTTATAAGTAGTCATCGTGTGGTTTGTATTCTTAGGGTGATAAACATTCATTATAGATGTAAGTGTCATGAACGTCTCGAGTACAGTATGGATTCGAGCCCTATGGTGCAGTG